CACAACTGAAAGAAGATTAAAGTGGGTTGATCCAAAAACAAACCGGAAACAGGAAGTCAACTTAAAGTACAGTCTACTATTTTGACCTTGACAGTTTACCCGTATCTGGTTAGCAGTACTCGCAAATGCAAATGACTTTCTTCCCGCTGTACTATCAAGGATGTTTGTAGCTCTGGTTTTGCGGGCAATCGATGCAGAGGTCTGATTATTCAAAGTCAATAGCATTGCTTAGCTGCGTAATGTATGCCAAGACATGTTGCTGAGTAATAACGAGCAATTTACGAGTTTCTTAAAACAACAGCAGAAAGTCACAAGAAAACCATAACAGTATATCTTACAGACCTTAAGAAATACTTGGAAGCAACGCATCAAGTTTCTCCTTAGAAAATATTGTTGTTTTTTGCTTTTAAATTTATTTGGCTGCTCTGCTTTGTTTTGTATATTTGCCAGGATTTTAAAGGAGAATATAGCATAATAAATAAATTATGCGAATTTATTGTTTGTATTGAAGAAATCTATTTTGAAATAATTCCACAGTAACCGTGGTTATTAATAAATTCTAATTTTGTGTAGAGTACCGATTTCCAATGGTGACAGACAATCAGAGGGAATAGAAATGGGGCGACACGGCAATTGATACTGTGCATAGTATGTATTTAAGTATGTAACTGAGTATGTATTTAAGTCAAATTCACGACCTAAAAATAATTATTTTCTGCATTTGTTTTAAGGCACATAAATTTGAGGATGCTATCATTTCAATTGGCCCACAACTCCCCGTGACAGTAGGAAAATACAGAAGGCAATCATTGATCTCATCAATCAAGTGCAATCAAAGATTAAAGCGTGAGACTACTATTGAATTTTCACGAAATTTTAGTTTTCCCTATGCTGATTTTCATGCTCGTACGTTAACGTGAAAGCAAACAGGTATCAATTGAGTATAAGTGCCATGGACTTATGTCTTACTTACACTAGGAACACTTACTATATTGAATGTTGCTAATAGAGAGATTTAGTTCAACGCATGATTCAACTTTCTGTTAGGAATGTTTTCAAAGTTTAGAAAACTGGACGCGGTTATTTTAAATGGAAATTTAGTTGATTCTCTGAAGAATTATCAAGAAATAATGCATAGATTTAGCTTAACCAATATTAGTACCGAATTGTTAGTGAACAAGTTTCATATACGTACATACATAAGCATTAAAATCTCTTCATGTTCGAAAATTATTCAATGTCTGAGATCAGTTTTCTAATACCACAAACGAAATTTTTTATGTTCCTGATATATTAACATAACTACATGTTCCTAGTCTGATAATATTGATAATATTTACAAGAGCAGTGAACTCTAAAGAATCCAAAATAAAATGCCCCAAAATGTTTGCAGTTTCAAGTAGTATTCGTAAGGCATAAGGTATTTAGAGGTATTTAAAAAGTTTATATGTAACGGATTATGCAAAAGCAACTATTGCGGCCTAGAGTTTATTAGAGTTTGAGATTTTTAAGTAGTGCACTATTACATTGATACTAAGTTTTATAAGAAAATATAACCAGTATGTACAATACTTACTATTTCCATTGTTGCCTTCCAAATTTAAGAAAAGGAAAAGCATTAAAAGGAAAGATTAAATGCAACACTTGGAGTTAGTAGAAGAATCTAAAAGTTATAGATAACACGTTCGTTCTATGTTTATAACTACCTATTATTTCTCTAATATATAAGTCGTTAGTTCTGCACATATTGTTCCGTATACATAACCATAAGTTTAGGAATTCTATTTAGAATTCTAGTCCCTTGTGAATCTGAGAGGTGTTGCTATTTTGAATTTTGCGTTTTGTGTTCACTTTTTGAATGTGAAAAATATTATTCCTAACCAGTACAGGATACGAGCATGTGATGTGTGTTAAACTGTAGTTTTCTCCTAATTCTCACATTTTCTATAAGCTCCAGTAAAAAACACTTTTGTACATCTTTTAAAAAAAGACTCGATTTAGTATTGGCTTCGTTTGAAGAAGTACGATGTATTTGAATAAAAAACCTGAGAAATTCTTCTTTAATTTTGATTGCTGAATAGTCTTAAACTGTCTAGATGAATGTAAACAGGTCACTTCTTCCTTCAGTGAAGTCATTTATGATTTTTGTAATTAAAACATTGTATCGCTAAAAATGTCGTCATTGTCTGAAATTTATTCAATAGATCCGAAGTATTTCTATACTTTAATAATTCTCAATTTAAAAAATAACATTAGTGACTTTCTTACCTAATCTTTAGTGACTTTCTTTGACTTACTGACGTTTTTTCTTAACATCCACGTCCTTATAATCAGTGTTATTTTCTCACTCAAAGTGAAAATAATTTTGCGCTAAACTCTTCATTAAAGTTTTCATACAAGCTTTTATATTTACGCCTAATTGTTTATTTTTTTAAATGAACATTCCAAAGGATTCCTCAACGCTACATCTCGCATAGCACGTACATATTTGTATATCCTAATATCCTGTTTTAATTACATCGAAATTACAAAAACAAGACACGTTTCTTAGCACTCAAACTCTGATTTAAAATGACTTGGATGATTTGGAGGATACATTTTTATACACTTAGTGGAGTCAAAGATGGTTTTATTTCCAACACTTCCAACACATGCTCGGAAATTTTATTTTTCTGTTGGTACATAAAGACTTGAAAATATTATATTTTGGGATGCATCTTATTATGGATGTTTGGGTACATAACTTTGATAGCTTTGTTATCATGTATTTAATTTCAAATGATGGTACATAACGAAGTAAGAAAGGTGAAAAATAATGCTGCGAGGAATCACACACATCTACGAGTATATCTACGCAATAGTATCCCTAAGCTAGATTAGGAACTCATTGCCATGCTTTGAAGTTTTTAAATGATAAGCACCGAAACCATAATCTTCTGAGTCTGTTATTTCATGTTTTTCCCATGCACACATATCCTCACGATTTCAATTTGCTGCTTTAAGTTATTACAGAATTGAATTTTTCTAAATTTCGCACCAATCGATGTCTTAATGCTCCAAAGCAAGTTACTTCCCAATGCTTTTTATATGAAGAAAGTGGAGTTCGGAATTATTTAATTTGTTTTACTGTGTCTTATTTTTAAGGTCACAGGTGCGAATCAGCTCTTGGTTAACAGTCACCTTCCCAAAATGTGGAGTCTATTTTGGTTTAGTGAAAAGGAAGAAAAGAAATTAAACTTTTGATGAAGTCATGATTTCGTTAACGTATTTTGGGCTTGAATGAAAATTTCATTTGGAGTAAAGTTGCGGTATTCCATCGAAATTACGTCAACCATTTAAATTTAATTTAAGAGCTTTGGTTGAGGTAGGTATGTGGGAAGTAAGTATCTTATAATGACAGTCGTTACTATTGAGTTGAAATTTAAGAAATATTTTAGCAAAGTTTTAAACTTGTGAGATTGTTGAATATATCAAGATTAATTACTGAAGTTTTAATTTGCAATTATTATATTACATTTTTACCTATCTAGGCATACGTAGCCTTATTTTCATAATCAGTGGTCAGTGAAGAAAACTAAGATTTGTTTACTACTTTATAAGATTTTTGATTTTATAATGGTTCATTACCGAGTTTATTGTATGTATAAGAAGTAAACCATTATTTTGAGGAAATGAAGTCTTGCATCTTCTACTTCACAGTTCATATATTTTCTTTACAAACATAATTTGACTTTAAGTTTGTAGGTGACTAAAGGCGCTCGAATGTTTTCTTTCAACTGACAATTTCTCTCTACCGTATTGCATTAAGTTTAACGATATCATAGATATCTAGCAATTAAGAAAAATATACACCTCAAGTACTCATAAATTATATCTTCCAATTGTTAGATTTTACTCAACTATTGTTGAGATTAGCAAATAACTTACTAAGAATAAGTTTGTGTATTGACAACAACAAATAAAAATACATTTAATTCATATAATTTTGTCTTCATTTAAAGCCTTTGATTATTTAACAATTAAATACAACTTAATACAAATATATTAACAATACAATTTTATTAACTACAAGTATATTAATATATTAACATGTAATTTACAATTAAGTTTAATAAATTAACATTCTCTAATATCCTTTGACATACAAAAATCTCATTCATTTCAATGCAGCTAAAATCAAAATATTTTATTTATATTTAAAATTAACTAAACCTAAGCTATATGTACAAATTGAATTTTAGTTAGTTAAAAGGGTCCTTAAAGGACATCATATACAATGTTTATTTCTATTTACTAAATCTTCTGTTATTAACAGCGAAAAAATCATGTTAATTCGTGTAATTCAGTTTAACTAATATTGACAATAATTATCACTTTCAATAATTTTTGTTATTTTAATAAATTTCATTTATTTATTTTTTATTTTCCGATTGGAAAACGCTAGATTTATCCATGCGCCATTTTATGGCTCTTAAATTCTAGCAATAAAAAGTGCAACGGAACATCAATCATTGTCCGATGTTGTTGCTATTTTATTAGTTGTTATTTTTCTTATGTGCTTCTTTGACAAATCAAAACTCTTACTGTTTTGTTGTACTTTTATTAGATTACAATAATATTCATTCTATTGTTGTTTTTTTAGTTATTCCGTCTTTCATACATCCACTCATATTTAACGTATTTTCTTCTTATCATTTCTCGCTTCTTATTTTTTGTTTTTGTTTTTGTTTTTGTATATGTTCTTAAGCTTAACGAAGTGTCATATGTTTTCTTGCTCGTCTTGCAGGGTACAGCGGCACACTTATTCGGCTAGCAGCCGAATTTAAGTAAGACGAAAATTGATGGACATGTTTTCTTTTGCGATGCTGCAGCGCTGCTATTGATGTTGATGAGTTCGCTGCTTTATCGTAGTTTGTTTTTGTTGTTGCTGTCATTGCTGTGTGTTTAATGACATTTGACAATGTTGATGAAGTTGTTTGACATGATTAGTGTTTTTTTTATATAAATTTTTTTCTAACTATATAACTAAGTATGTTCTTGCATATTTCTTTTTCTTAATAGCTTTGTGTATTTCTTCGTGCTTCATCATTTGTGTGTCTGCGAGTGAAAAATTTTAACATGTGAATGTGGTTGCTGATGATGGCTGTGTGTATAAGTTATTTTATTTGATAATTGGTGTTGTAGCAATGCGTGTAACTCATTTATTTCACACTCAACATGTTCATGCATATGCCTAAATTCTTAGTCCTTTTCTTGCTTTTTGCTTGCTTGTTTCATGTTATTTATTTGTTACACTTTTTTCACATTGTGGTACATATATGATATATACGTACACTTGTACGCAATTTTTTATGTTATTGTCGAGCGAACGACATTTGACGGTTGATTGCACATATTGAGCATATAAAAAACATATTGCATTAAAGTAAATATTTGAATAAAATTTTATAGTATTTTTATTGTTAGCAGTAATACGCAAATAAATATATCGGCGCCCTTTTTAAAACAAAATCAATTGTTGTTGTTCTTGTGCTCGATGTACGCTTTTTAGCCTATAAATTTACATTGTGCCCAATTCTATTTTCTTTTCGTTGAGTTATTGCTGTTTATTTTTCTACGCCAAACAAAATTCTGCTTCATTAGCTTAAGTAGGTCTCATATTCTACTAGCAAATTTTAAATTTCATACATTTGGAATGTTTCTATTTCTCTTTCCTTGCCCTTTCGTGTGTCGTGTGTGCTATTAACATCATAATGCCTTCGGCATAGCGCTATATCCCAAGCCACTGTTGCGTATCGTCAACTCTGAGTTCGTGGGTGTTTCGGTTGCAGCTGTTACTGCCGCCGCGGGGTAAACTACACGCATCAGCGCTGTCGTTGGTGTTGGCGTGCCGGCTGATGATGTTGACGAAGAAGACTCCTGCCGAATGCGGTTGTTGGCTTCCGTTGTTGAGCGCGGTATGGTGAACTTTTTTCGAGCGCGCCAACGAAACTTTTCCGTTAGACTGTCTAGCGTTTTACCACTTTTATGGGGTTGCGCTCTGGCTTTGACAGTCTTTCGGAAATCACGGACCTGTGCTGGTTGCTTGCGGTTGCTTGATGTTCTAGCCAGCGGTAGAGGCGCGTTGCTCATACCGGGCAAATGTGCACGCATCAACTCTACGCGCGGACTAGTTTGAGTAAGATAAGCGTCTTGATCGCGCCGGCTTATGATACGAGAAAGTTTGAGACGCGAACGGGAAGGTTGTGTTTGAGCGCTTAACTCAGCTATTGTGTTCATTGGTTGCACTGGTTGCGTGGCAACTAGAGTTGCTGCCATTATATGTGGTGCCACTGGCGCAACAGGTCGATTGTACATTTCAGTCTCTTCTAAGCAGTGTGGTTCTAACTCAATGTTACTCTCCTCCCAATTTTGAGAGTTAATCGACATTCGATCTTCTACAGGTCGTGAATGCAAACTGCGGCCAGTCATGTTGACACTTGAACGCTTAAGTTCTCTTAATCGATACGAGTTACTGGGATGTGCATGATTGTGGTAGTGACTGCCAACCTCTGATTCAAGTAGTGAATTCGCGTCACCCACCGATGAGAGTTGCGAGATTTGTGTTTGCAATATGCGATGCTGCAATGAGTCATTGCCGACGCTGCTACGGTGATTGCCGTTGCTATTGTAGACGTCATTCTTGCCAAGTGATGTCAGCAGTGTTGATTGTGATCCTATTGATATGCAGCGATTACGATGCGATGATCTGCAGCTATTGTTTCCACCCATACCATTGCCGCTACCGCTGTTAGCACTGTTGATCGTTGTGGTTGTTGTTGTTGTACGGATGCTGTCCTGCAGAGAAAGATGATGATTCGGGTCACGACATTGCAATTGCACTACTCGGTAAGAATTAAAATGCTCTAAGGCATTATTATTCACCGTTGTGTGCAGCCGCATGGAACCGTTCTGGCGCAACAGAGCGCTGTAGTTGTGATTCTGCGTTTGGTACCTGTTCGCAAGTCCAAAGTGACGAGCCAATGTCACCTAAAACAGAGAAGAGAACAACAGAAACAACAACAAACAAACACAGGAAGTGGTATAAAAAATATGTCAGAAATTAGGCAAAGTAAAATGTTAGGGTTTGAGGATGTGTGAAGGTGAAGAAGGTGACAACAGTTAGCATAGTTAGTTGAGAGCAAATGTATTATAAGATTCAAATGAGTTGACATCTTACCTTGAAGGCCTCACGAAATTTGTGACTCATAATGTTGTAGAGCAGCGGATTTATACACGTTGAGAGGAAGTACAGCACGCCCGATGTATAATCCAGTATGTGAAATATATCATTAAATATTTTGGACTCAATGCCAGCAGTTGAACCATAAACAGCCATAAGACGCTGGGCATGGAATGGAGCCCAGCAAAGAAAGAACGTAACAGCAACAGCAACTGCAAAAAAAAGACACAAGAAAAAATTGAATAGAGAATTAAAATAAAGTCACATTGGACATAATTTATGAAAAAACAAATAAAATACAAGTGAGGGTTTATTTCAAACATTCCAGTTGATATTAATAATATTTAAATACTATCAACCCAGAAATCTTAAAGTTTTTCCAAAGTAAATTATATTCGTTTAAAGCGACGTCAAATTAAAACGACTTTATAGGCCGACTCAAGGATAACTCCTCCTGTATTTTTATTTGACCAGAAATATAAGAAAACGAAAGAAAAACAAATGTAAAATGTGAAATGAAATTTAAATCAATTTGTAGAGAAACTCTTTATTGTTGACAGAATCATTTTAGTAGCGCCCAATTTAACTACGAACACACTTAGGTTCTGGTTTTTCGTTTCTGTTTTTGTTTTCAAATAGAGTGAAACACACAGATTGTCTGGGTTTGTGGGTCTATGTTAGTTGTGGGTCTGATTGTTTGCCTAACATAGTTTGAGCATTACTTAAACGCGATTAAACTTAAGTTCTGCTGCTGCCGTTTTGATAAGCAGTAAAATGCCTGAAAGTGTTGGATTTAATGTGCACTTGAAATTTATCAGCCGTTTTTGTTCTGAGCTTTTCCAAATGGCAGACAAAAGTGATTTGGACACATTTAAATTGTTCCAGTAACACATTCTCGTTTCGTGAATTTCTAAGTTAAGTTCTCAGCTTAATAATAAGTGCAAAACGGTTGAAAGCAAGTGAAAGTGATCCCTTGAAATTATCAAAAACTTTTGACGCTTTTGGTAGATTTATATATCTTTTTAGTTTTTCAAATTTTTAAATTCAGTGAATTCTATTGTAAATATTCAACATATTCAATTAGTTCACAGTGCGTATGAGTGACAACAATTCCGAACTAATTGAAGTGTATAGTAGTGGCATATTGTAAAATGTAGAAATAAATCGGTATTATTTATTATTTTTCTAAAATTTTGTAGTTAGAAATATGCATCAATGATTTAAATGTTTTCGATTAAGTAGAGAAGTAGCACAGTGGCACAGTGGCTTATAAGTGATGAGAAACGTTGTATTGAAGTATTAAAAAAAATGGTATGCTTCCTCTTGTGTTATTAGAACTAACTCTAATCAGTGTTAGTTCTATCCCAAATTATTTAAACGTTATAGTGTCTAACGTAGGCAAAAATATTAATTAGTAATTAAAATATATGCAAAGGTATGTAATATAGATTTTTTTTTCATTATTTTTAGTTTTTTTTATTTTAGTATTTTTTATTATTAAAACTTATTAATTCGCTCAAGTTTGTATAAACTTATCAAGAATAAATAATAATTAAATCTTATTCAAAATATAGCTTGTTCAAAGTATATATCGTATTTGAAATTCAGATATACAACAAAACTTTGTTTCCGTTACTTACCAAGCATGCGAATGACTCGACTCTGTGCGCTAATACCGCGATTTACATCATAGCAACGTCTTGGCACCGCTTGAAGCAAACGACTACGCTTCAACTTCATACCAATGAGCACATACAAAACACAAATCGCAGTCATGGGTCCACCGAAGAAGATGAATCCAGAGACGGCAAACACATGTGCGAAGAAATCATTTTTCATCTGCAAAGAAAACGGAAAACAAATAAGAAAATTGACAAAAAGTCAAAACGAAACGTCAAGTCATGATCCCAATGTACACCAATTGGATGATTAGAAACAGCACATGACAATAATTTTCCATAAATGACTTGTCTTATTTTAAACTAAATTCATTTCTTATGTCAGTAGAGCAGAAATTTTGTTAAATAATAATTATGATAAATTATGAAAACAGAATTGTTTTAATCGGATAAAGAATATGTGTCAATTAATACAACCAAGTTTCAACTCACCGTGCATGAAGTGCCACCATCCTGTGCCACAACGGAAAACTGCATCGCCTGTGGAAGAGCGAGTAGGAGCGCTGTCACCCAAATGGCAAAAATGAATTTTATTGCTCTCGATAACTTCGACATGGTGTGTTGTCTGTAAAAATATGATACAGAATAAATACAAAACATTTTCTTGAACATTTTTTTCAAGGAAGCTACTTAGTGTAAATTATTTTGCATGATTTTGAGTTTTTTTTTAAAACTGAATTATGTGCGCTTAAAACTTTTTGTTTTGCTTCAAGAATATAAAAACAGCCAAGTTTTATGAAAGTGCAATATTTTGTTCGACTCACCGAAACGGATGACATATGGCGATGTAACGCTCCACTGTAAATGCCGTTATCGTCAGCACTGTGGCATTGGCTGCTGTCTCCGATAGCACACTTTCCATAACACAAAGGACATCCGTGAAAGGATAAGAATACGGAAACCACAAGTTATATAAATCCTGTGGCATACCTACAAAATATCAGACATGTAAAAGGATCTGTAGTAAGTTTGGCATTCACTGTACGTGTAGCGTTTTTTAAACTAATATTTTGAAGGTATTGAACTATTTTTTGTATATTTAAGGCATAAATCATTCCCCAGTGAGCGATTTTGCTGTATTTTTCGTTATGACTGAGTAGGACAGTGATTTGGTTTGTTGAAAAATCGTTGAGGTGTGGAAATAGTAAATATATTTGTGAGCAAAATACTGTTAAAAAGCAGAGTTGAAGGCGCAGATACGAGTGATTCAAATACATCTAAAGTGAGTAAATAAATAACATATGCTTAGAATTAGAAAAAGAACTGCAATATCTAGAAGTCGACCAAAACATGACTTGACGAATAAAATTTTATTGGGAAATGAAATTTATACAGTTTCTTATTAATTTCTTCTTGTTATCGAAAGAGATAATCATAGTTTAAGAGAACTAGTAAAGATATATATATTAGTTACGAATTACGGAAACTAATATATATATCTTCACTAGTGCTTTTAAACTAAGATTATCTCTTTCGATGTCTTTCAATCAATATTATTTTTTCAATTTTTTATTTTTCAACATTATTTGATGATTATCATATAACAGTTTCTATAAGCGGTTTTGTGAAATTCTCCAAATATTTTTTGGTTTCTTTAATAATTTCTTCTACTGGCGCTATTTGTTCTTTTTTGGTTTCTTACTTTCCTATACCTCAAGTGATGTATATTTTAATACATATATTTGAACTATATGAAGAGTGTATGCGGATTAGACGGTTTGAAACAAGTTTGAAAGATGCCGTTGTAGTTGTGTAATTCGTAGCTCCTTTAAAAATTAAATGAAACATCAGAAGAAATATGCTATATTATGCCTCATTATTATAAAAAAGGTGAAACTGCAATGAAAATATGCCGAACAAATTGCATGGTTTATGGTAAGGACGCTGTAAGTAAATCCCGAGCAAAGAAGCAATTTGGTCGACTTTGTTTCAGAAACTATGAGGACAAAAATGTACCTCGTTCTGTCAGATCAATCACTAAAAAAGCCGAGGACAGTGTCGGAGACAAGGAAAAAGACGTGTTCCACCATGACAAAGTCAGGGCTTATGCATCTCTGATGATTTGAAACAATTTGGCTTAACTTGGGAAGTTTTGACGCATCTACTGTATAGCCTGAATCTTGCATCATCTGACTATCACTTGTTTGGATCTTAGAATTCTTTTAATGACAAAAAAGCGTACTAAAGATCTGCTAAAAATCACAGAATTTTTCAACTATTGGAATTATGAAGCTACCCAAAAAATTGCATGAGATCACAAATTTCAAAAAGGTGAATTTAAGTGTTTTCTATGAGAGTTAGCTTTCAATATTTGGTATCTTATTAGTATTATAAGCATTCAAAAAATAAATTTAAATTTGTATATTTAATAGAATAATTTACAATACTTTTAGCACTGTAACGATTAATCACAGTTTAAACTTTTTTACATTTTCACAATAACTTTTCAGGGTCTGGAAGTTAAGGTAAAGATTTGCATTTAAACTTCTGGCGCGTGGTTGGCCACCGTTTACCATATTGTTTGCAATTGAATGCAATCTTGAGCATGGTAACTGCTTCACAGAGTTGAATACAAGAAAATATCTTTCCCTTTTTCATTGTGGACACACAATCAAACGGAATTTCATTTACAGCAACACGAATTCCAATTTAGATTTGAGAAAGGAATTTACAGAAGAACGTTTACAGAATGAAGCAAAATCTGTTAAAAACATTTTTATTGTAGAAGTAAGAAATCCTTTATCCATCATGTTAAGAATATTTTATAAATTTTTAATAAATAAAAAACACGTTAAAGTAGCAAAAGTTGTTTCAACAGTTTAAATTCTTAAAGGTTTTAAGCAATTTGCTCTATTGTATTTATTTCTTAACTAAAATTTCAGACAATTTAGTTAATAAAAAATAATTTGTTAGTTTAAAAACCTAAAAAACATATTTTTTTCGCTCTTCCGAATTTTCATATTTAAATAATAAAAATCATAAAATAATACGAGCGTAAATATTGTATGTGATTTGATATGATTTTTCTAATAGTGAAGCGCTCATAATAAAATCTGCAAATATCTACAAAAATCTATAGAAGAAATAGTTAAAATTATTCTACACAATTTCATAAAAAATAATTGCACACTTTGCAAAAATGTGGCTGAGCAATAAAATAAATTAGTGTTGCTCATACGCCGTGGTGAACAAATGTTTCGAGCCAAGCGAGCATATGAGTGTATGTGTGTATGCGTGCGTATGTGTGTGTGTGTGTTCGCTGGAAGGTATTCATTTATGCATGAATTCATACGTTGGGCTATAAAAAATGAATTATTTTTATCAAAGCGGTAAGGGTTTGCATAATGTTTACTGATTACAGACGAATGTAAAGGATTCTGTGTAATGCTTTGTGTAATTTTTGCATATATTTAATGTAATTTTGTGTAATTTTGTAGTGCATAAAATGAAATAGTGAAAAAAGTGAAAAAAAGTGAAAAAAAGTGAAAAATAAACGAAGTGAATTCAATGGCTGATAAATACCAATAAAAAGTGAAAATGATCTCATAAGAAAAGCGCTTATGTTGGTGGGGTTACTTTTGCTCAGATTAACGACCGCAAATGTACGTTTTAAGTGTCTGCATTAGTAGTGTAATGAAGTTAATTTAGATATAGTTAAAGTAAAAAATAAATCATTTTAATGTCTTATGAACTGCAGTAACTAAAGTTAACAACATTGCAATTATTTTGTGCCTTAAGCTCTTCACAATCATATATGACACCCAATCATTTACATACTTACATTGACATTTCTCATATAAATTCCCTCAACAATTTATAACCGATGTGTCAATCTATTGGGCATAAACTCACCTGACAACAGCAAAATCATATCGGACACAGCCAAATTGAAAAGATAAAAATTGGTCGCCGTGTGCATGAAGCGATTTCGTGAGATGACAATGCATGTTATTAAGTTTCCGAGCACACCTGCCACAAAGATGAACGCATAGAAAATTGTCAGAGTCATCAGCAGCGGTAGTGGATCACGTTGTGGCTGTGGATGTTGTGCGGTGGTCAGCAAATTTGTAAGATTATCTGTCGACATATTCAGCATTTGACTGATGTTCTGATGGAATCTTTTATTTTGTCGCAAAAATTGTTGCAAATTTTCGATGTCTAGCGCTGTTATTGAGGCATTGACACCGACCACCTCGGAGGAGAATAAAAATGGCGAATATGATTGATTAGCGCCATCAAGTAATAAAATTTCTGCTGCCGCCCCCGCTCCTAGCGGCGACTGACCATCTGCAGTTATTGTGCTCATTTCGCGGTAAATTTTTGTCTTTAATTTATTTCGTTGACGTTTAATCAATTTCTGGATGATGGAGTCATGGAAGACATCTTGCTTCTCTGCGTATGGCTGGATTAGACAGATTTGGTTGGTTGATTTTTATTGCTCTCGTGGAAAATTTTTATATGCAGTCAAACTAAAGTAAGAAAAATTTCCATTGATGCAAGGAGTTAGCAGTGTCACATGGAATTCTGAAAATTAAAAATAAAATTTTAGATACAATGAAATATATTAAAAAGATACAAACCTAAAAAGGTATTTGAAAGTTTAATATAATCGCATCAATTTAAATAGCTCAAATAAAATTTTTTTTAGTTCAATATTGACAGAAAACATTGTTTAATTAAAATAATGTAATATTCTCGAATCCAAAATTTTCAATAACCTTATATCCTGTATTTATTTCTATTTAATGAAATTTGCTAAATTCGTTTTCATACCATCTGAAAACACACCTTTTCAAAAAATTAGTTAGTTCACATGTCACTTTCTCAGAATCCTTATGACTTTGTGCAATTTATTATATGAAAATGCAATCAAATGCATTTCAAGTGCTTGGTTATTAAAAAACGAAATCATATAAAGATCCATAGTAATTCCTTTCAATAATTTATATTAAAAGTAAAATAAGTTTAAAATGGAAATTAAATTGAAATTTGCTGAATATTTACAATTCAAATCTTATGAGGCAGCAGTTAATATGTCATATAGGCTCTATGCTTTATGCAATAGTATTAATTAAAAATTTAATATTAACAGAAAGAAATTAATTTAATTTATTTTATAAAGTATAGATATCTAATTTTTTTATTTATTATTGAATTCATTATTTAACGGCAATTGTTTTTATTGTTCTTCATATATTAATTTTGATATCCTAAGAAGACTACAGTGAAATCAACATTTAGCCGGCACAGAGGAGCCGCAGTTGGAGATAATAAAAATAAATAACGAGAAGTTTGCAGTTATAAATAACTGAGTCATTTGCTTAGTTAATATCAAAATCATTTTAAAGTTCCGCATTTAAGAAGTCGTAAATCGATAATGATTGACACAATTAAAGATATCGTCAAAGTGATTTCTTGTGATATGCCCGATCAACTCTCAAATGATTGCTGACTTTAAGGTTGGAAGTAAATTATTGTAATGAAAACTAATATATAGCATGCAATCCATTGCCCTCAGTAACATAGGTTGCCTTCTTTGGACAAATCTGAAGCACATTCGTGATACTTCTTTGGAAGTGCTGCATTGGCTCGACACTCAACATCAAATGACATCTGTTAAAGCATTGCTTGTTGAAATTTTTTAAGTTTTAAGTTTTAAGAAATTTTATGATTTACTTCAGGAATATTCTGAAGATCATAAAGATTTATGATGGCAGTGAAGTTTAATTATATAGAGTTTACACGTATAAATAAATTTAATGGACCGCATAATGTTGTCAACACATTTCATTATCATAAGAGTACATTTCAGTTCTTATAAATCACATTAATTTTATAATAATTGATTTTATTTGATTTGTAGAGAGTCGAAGGGTGAAGTAGCTGAATGGTAGAAGGAAATTTTGTTTTCTCAAGTTAAAGAGCAACGTTTATTATATTGTTGACATAGTAGTCCTTCTTAAACCAATCACTTTATTGGCAAATACACATACCTATATAATGAGCTCCCCCAAATACTTATCTTGGTAGCATGTAAACATAGTTGGTGTTAACATATTTTGTTACTTTTGATGATCGTGTGATTTTTAGTGGATACAGTATTTACGTTACTCTCATTCTATGTTTTCTTTGGCATATCAAATATTCGCTAATTCAGTTTTCAACTACTTCATCATATATGAAATATTAATTAGAATAGAATATTCAATGCAATGTTCTAATATATTATATGAACAATGGCTTATAACAAAAACCATTAGCAATGTACGTCCTTTGGCTTTTAGTGATTAGTGATTTTCAAAAATATTTATTTGGTTAATAAACACAGTAAAATCGACTGAGTTCGTCTCCAGAACCATGTTTTATTTATGTTTATTGTTCTTGTAATTAAAATGATTAAAAATATTTCCTATCTGCTCTCAAATAATAAATAAGCACGTTCACAATTATCATTTTTAATACTTCTATTTGCAGCTATAAAATTTCAATAAAGTGAGATTGCGGAGTATTGCACTTAGACAATGCACTTAAAATCTCTTCACTACAATTTCTGCATAAGTTTCTGCATCAAGTTTTAGTGAAGTGCTTAGATTATAAGTTTTAAGAATATTTTTATAATATTTTTAAGAATATTTTTCTATGATAAACTAACGAAATGAGTTTCATCCAAAAACATCTCAACATTACAATACAAAACCATCTTAGTGGTACTAATATAAAGTCACTCGCAAAGAGAAATAATATTCATTTAAAATCGGTTAGAACGAGAACTATAAATATTGTAAATGAAAAATTATCTTTACAAAATTGATTTTTAAACAGGAAACTAAAGTTCATAAATAAAATGAATTTTTTTTGCAATTTGAAATTTTAATTTTTGCATATTTAAATCAATAGCGTATATATATATACCATATAAATTACCGCATATTTTTCCTGAACTTTAAATATTTTATTTTCATCTAAGCATTCAAATTTATGAACAAAAGGGAAATTTCCTGCACAAACACAGCTCCTGAGATTTCTATTTCATGCTTTTGATTCTATTCTATTGTTATTTTCCCTTAAGCCACGCCTATTCATTTACACTTCTGCAAACGTTTTATGTAGGTCAGGCGCTCTGTGAACTGTCAATTGCAAAAGCGAAAGGATTAGGCCTGAATGTATTGTATTTGCCTTGCTTATATTCTATATTTTTACACATTTATCCTTTCTTAGTCTGTTGCTGTCTTCGCGAACTTTCACTTAAGCAAATGTATTTCTTTTGTGTTAAATATACTGTTCCTTGCTCCGTAGAAGTCACCCATCTGTCGGCAGACATTCAATCAGTTCCTTAACATTTGCAGTCCTGGGTTGTTAAGTCAATTAATCTTGTTAGTAGAACGTTTTATTTATGGGATTTTCCAGCAGATTTATGCATGTAGCCTCTCCTCTGGTGACTTTTCTATGTATTTTTGCTAAATTGCAAAACTCTTAATATTTATGTTCTTATAAATATTAAATTCACTTTTAGTAAAAATTTTCTTAAAAAATTTAAGTGTATTCTGCCATTTTCAATTTATATCCTTAATCACCTATCTTTTCTGGAGCAGCTTATGACATGCCCTTCAATTTGTCTATTAAAGTCCTTATGAGCCTAAAATATTATAGAAAAACAAATGTTGTAAATGTCATATGTCTGTAATTGCATTTTATTTTTAACATTCTGATATTTTCTGATGTGTGGTCAGATGGGCGAACACCACCCACCTGTTCGAATACAAATGCCAATTTTTAGGTTTTTTTTGTCCCTTTAATTACTAAGTATTGTCAACGGTCCTGTATATTTCAATTCAACAGCACAGCAACGTTTTAGCTTTTCATCGATGCGAATTCGGTTTCATATTCCTAACACCAAATGTAATTTTCTACACTTTAATGTAGGTTTAAAGCCAGAAGTATGCCATAAAGTATTTGTGGGATTTTTCCACTACTGTTGCCGTTTTGCACAGTTAGAATAGCTATTTTGTCCCAAAGAGAGCGTATATAGCGTGCAGGTTAAAAATAAGAAAAGTCGGAAGTTTTTCTATTTATTTCACATTATTTTCATTTATTTCGTCGCTAAATGTTAACATTTTTTTTTCTATCATACTTGCCCTTTTAGAAACAATGTTATCTTAATGTTATCCTTATTAAAGAGGTTTTCCTACTGGCCGCTACGTAATTTTTTGCTTTACTTGCTGACATTTTGCTGCGGTTACCGTTTGATCGTGAAGGACGGGACTAACGCTTCCATTCTAAGTCTGTTATTCTGCTATTTAAGGCTTACTTGTGTTGTTGTGCTTTACTGTCACGTCGTTTGAAATTTATGGTGTGAATATTTATGTGTACCGGCCTCAGTCAAAAGGTTTTCTAACACAGCGGAAAATATTTAACTAAATTATTAAACATTTAAAAACTTTAACAATGAATTTTTTCCTCATTCTCGTACTGCTGACTCATGAATTGTGGGAGCTAGCAGAGTGGAGAGAGTGGGTTATAAATTCTATTACCAACAAATTTGCTAACATTGTGCTCTGTTAACTTAAGCAAACAAAAAACCTAAATCTGGCCTTGTATTTATTCTCCATTTTACAAAAACATGTCGGCTTCCGGTTCGCTTAGCGAATATTACTGAACGTATTTTATCCTTTTTTATTGGGAGTGAAATTCAATCTTTAAGCAAAAAAGTTTAGCTTTAATTCTATTTGTTCATTGCAAAAAGTTCGTGAATTTATATTTGTTGTGAAACTTAAAAACTTTTTCACTAAAAGCATTTAAAGTCCGCTTCAGCGGCGCTTCATATGCGCACCGTGTGAAATGAACGACTTTGGCAACACTTTTTATTGCAGATTTACACTTCGAACTATAAATTAGCGACAGGATACTGAAATGTACAAGTTTACGTGGCAAGTAAAATGGAAATATAAAAGCGTAAAGTGCTTATCGCCGATCCCAATATAAATGCTGACAGCAGTAATTGGAGCAATGAAATCATTGAGGACAATTTTACTGTCCTCACCTGCAGCTCTTTATGGCAAGGATTCTGATTATTTTATAGCTACAAAAAATCTATTGCTTTTAGAAAATTTGAGAGTAGTTAATAATACAATTAGTGTCAGAAAAGAAAATTTCATAAGATTTGTGAAGCAAATTATATTGCACTACTTCATTGATCAATTCTGATTTTTCAAATACGTCATTAGCTTTATATATAAATTTTTGTCTAATAGATACTTTCCAATCTGCTGCTTAGTTCCTAGTGACTTACTTAGGTATTCGCTCTATTCATCCTCACCTTAGATTACTTTCATTATATGCTGTTCTTGTTTGATTTTGTGTTATTAAATTTAACCTTTTATAATATTTTCTGTTTTACGTTGAATGTTCATGTCTTATTCAAATAAAATTTTTTTTTTGCAATAGATACTTCCCAGGCTGCTGCTTAGTTTCTAGTGACTTACTTAGATATTCGCTCTATTCATCCTCACCTTAGATTACTTTCA